GTATCCTGTGAGTGGGGTGTGTTGTATCCTGTGAGTGGGGTGTGTTGCTGTCCTGTAGAGTGGGGTGCTGTTGCTGTCCTGTAGAGTGGGGTGTGAGGCTGTTAGAAAACCCTCCACCAACCCCACCCTTTGTCGCATTTCTGTACCTGGGACCTGCTCTCCCAGGAAGGTGCAGGTTCTCTACTTTCTGACGTGATCTGATGGTATAGAGAAGATATATTCTATTTCTTTAAGGCACTTGTCCCTTCGACTGAGTGCTGAGATTTCTTTGGACTGGAAATATTGCTTTTGTCTTTTGACATGACTAGGGAAAACTTTTCATTTTTCCCATTCAGTTTTAGAGATTTACTTTAACTCTGAACTTCATGTCTTTCTCTGGTTGTAGAAAATGTGGTTGTGGCCATTTTCTGCAGCTTCTCCTCCACAGAACGCCGAGCTCACCATCTCATCTCATGGATCTAAGGGTGCTCCTGTTTCTTGTCTGCTCTAAGCATTTTGTATCTGGTCCGATTACACAGATGTGACACTTTCATTTGTGTTTTTAGTCTTCTGATCATGCAACTGTGGTTTAGGGAACAGTCTTGAGAAGGAGGGACTCAAAGATACTGAGGCTGACAGCTGTCTTTTCTAGAAGCAGATTTCTTCACCTGTAGGCCATCCTATGAAGCTGTGTGAAGCTGCTCGGATGTCATCCCACTTTCTCAGCCTCTGTCCCCTAGTCCTGTGTCCCAGGTATTATCCATAGGGATATTGGACATGTCTGCTGGCTCGCCACAGATGTAGCCACCAAAGTAGCGACACAAGGTGAGTCACCCAAGGAAGTGTTCCATCCATAGAGTCCCACAGCTCTGGTACTGATGGCCGTTTTCCGAGCCTCTTTCACCAGGGAGAACCCCTTCCTCCCAGGTCATATTACGAGTATACTGGGATAGTCCCAGTGGGACTCCAGAGCTCCAGCCCCAGCTTAGAGTTCACAAGGCCTGGGGTCAGCTTCCGTGCACTGTCCCACACAAATGTCTGTGCCTAGCATGGCAGTTTTAGTGTCACTAAAGGACTTAGCCATTTATTCACGGTTTTCTTTTTATATTTTTCTCTTCTATTCCTGATGTGTTCAAAGTATCAATCAATGTGAAGGATGACACTTTGGCCTCTGTTTTACTTTCACAAAGCAGGAAGAAAACAATGGCTGCCCCTTAACAAGTATGTGCAAATGTATAATGTGCCGAAGACACAGAGCTGGGTGATAAGGCCACTCGTGACTGCTCCACGCTGCTCTGCTCTCACCACACAAAGCAGTGACTCAGAGATGACACCAGTTCACACACAGAGAGAACAAACCAAGCCAAGAGCTAGTAGTTTCTTCATTGCTAAAGCACTCTGGATTTCTGAGAAAATTCACCAATAGTGTGAATTTAGTTGCGTACTGCTACAACTAAACAAACCAACTTGTTGCCCCTCAAGAAGCTTCTACCTAGCACTGTGCAGTTCAGACTTCTGATCTTGGCCTAACTTCTTTCCAGCTCTCTAACAATGCTAAGGACATGAACACACCGGCAGGAAGTGGAAGCATGGAGGCACTGGGCTTGGCGGGAGGCTGGTTCCCTGAAGTGTTGAACATGTGCCCGAGTAGCTGTTAACAGCTGGAAAGTCCTATGAAGGAGGACTGACAGGTCTCCAGCCATGAATTTGCAGGTGAACATTAGCTACACACATACTTAGGGCATGCTGTTCACCTACCTTCTTTATCACCTCGGGCACTGCCCACTAGGAACCTGGACACCAGGGGTGTGCTTGATAAGGACAAACAGGTAGAAATGAAGACACTCTGGGTGGGTCTGATCCGCAGAAGGTGTCCCCACCATAAGCCAAAGGCAATCATCAGTACCGTCATATAGCAAGGTCCTTGTAAGGAGATTCTCCATACCTGGAAAAGAACACACGCATTCACACATATCCCAGGGCAACAGCCCATCTCCGGACCACAGCCTCAGAGCAGAGAACTGACCCTTCAGGAAGGAACTCAGAGCCTATACACCCAGACATAATGAACACACATCCTGGGCTGAAACACACTCAGACACAGATACATATACTATGTACAATCATCTCACAGTATCCCTAGAGATTGCTAGTGGGCCCCCACACCAAGCAGCAGATACCAAAACCCTCCAGTGCTTAAATCTTTTCCTTTTAAATCTTATTTATCTATTTTTATGTGTGTGGGTGTTTTGTCTGTGTATTTGTCAGTGTACCATATTCACAGCTGGGACCCATAAAGCACAGAAGAGCATGTCAGATCCCTTGAAAATGGAGTTATCAAAAATTGTTAGAAGCCATGTAGTTGCCCCAAGTGATTCCCGCAAGGAAGAATCAGGAAGCGTATATTGGCAAACTTTCTGCAACAGCGCTATTCCCAGTTAGGGGATCCCCAGCCTCACAGGCCATCTTAGGTTTCTGTTTCTTCTTTCTCAGGGAACAACATTCTGAAACCCTAAAGTCAAGCAACAGGGCAGGGCTTGATGCAGTGAACCCACAGCTGCTGAGGGGCTGAACACCACAGGTGCACAGCAAGAACCTGCTGAAAGACGAGAAAACATAACTCTAGCTCTGCAGGATTCATAAGGTATTCAGAGAGAGGTAGAAACTGATGAACTACTAAGATAGAGAACTAACAACAGTTCAAAGGCACACGTCTATAATCCCAGCACGAGAGCGTGAGGGAGGAGGGTCTCTGAGTTCACGGCCAGTCTTAATTACACAATTAGACCTTGTCTCAAAACAAAGAGAATAATCCAAGTCCACTGCAAAGCAGGAGGATAAGGAAGGTCCTAGCAGGTCCAAAAACCCAGATTAAGCAGTCATCAGGGATGGCATTCAGGGTAGGAAGACTGCATTCTCTACAACACTGGGAAGCTCATCCAGATTCCAGTAACTTGGGACGTTTCTGATCATCCCTTCCTAGGATTCAGGGACCTAAGAGGATGTCCATCAATAATTACTATTTTGGAAAACACTATCAGATGTTTTCTATCAAATGTAAGTTGCCTACATGGAAAAGACCTACTGATGTGAACCGTTCACTTTCCTTACTTTAGGCTGCGCTAAAGTTTCCAGTCATACCTGCATGACAAAATATGAAAGATGAAAACCAGGAACTGCAATGGGAACAAGCTGCACTCGCGCAATGAAATTGCAGGGCCAAGGCACACAAATAAGTCTAGAGCTGCTACCTAGCACAGACAAGAGAAGATGCAAGGCCACGCAATGAAGGCCCAACAAAGCCTCAAGATGAAGGCCTCAAGATGAAGGCCCAGCAAGGCTCCAAGAAAACACAGGTTTCCAGTGCAACATTCATATCCTTCATCAGGTGCATTACTACCTCAAGCACCCAAAATACACTCACTTGACAAAGCCAGAACCCTTCCTTCAGGCTCCCCCATGTTTAGATCACATGGGCAACCCCCCCCAGACAGTACCAGTCAGAGCAAGCACTGTTTTATAGTGCTCACAATTATATTACTTATGTGTCACAGAGCATCATTTCACCATCAGCTTTGAATATTACAGAAAAAAAATTAATTGTGAAAACCAGGAGAAACTTTAACATAATTCTACTACACAGACGATGCCACACACTGATGTCAGAAAGGCTCAGAGCCCTACTCAAGATCTTATTGCTCATAATATGGAAACAGAACTTTACCTGCCCTGCTTGCCATGAATCACTGTTTACATCAAATGTCTCCAATTTTAAAATCCCAGATAAGCCGCTGTACTTGGAAACAAAGGTCACATGTTTCCATGAAGCCTGTCCATGATGGCACTTGTGATGGATGACCCCAACTGGCTCTAACAAAGAGGACACCCATAAATCCCTTCTACCCCAGCTTATGCCCTCCCCACCCCTTACTCTTCAAGAAAATGCACAGGAAAAATGGGGCTGTTTTTAAGTTAGGATCTAGAAGAATGGTTAATTTTCTTTGAACTTTGAGTTTAGAAATTAAAATGTATGACTTATGATGTGAGAAGGACATGAGGAGACAAAAGTCCCTGGAAGATGTCACTGACACAGTCAGAACTCCTCAAGAAGAAGCATACCTTGGCACATCTCCCAGGCGGTGAGATCAGACAGTTTAACAGTTCTTGCAGCAGAAAAGAGGTTAAGAGAAAATTGAAGGTACTAATGACAACCAGCATCTCTCCAGAGAAGGTGAAAAAGGATGTTACAGTATGAAGATAAATGTCAAAAACCAGTGATCACTCTTGGAAGCAAACAGGACTTTAAAAAGAAAATTTGAAACTGTCAGTAGCTGGGAATGGAGGCACATATTTGTAATTCTAGTACATGGGAGGCAGAGGCAGAAGGACTACCACAAGGTCAATGCTACCCTGTAGTAATAATGGGCTACAGGTTCTTCCAGGAGTCTGTAGGGTAATCTAAAACAACAATAAAACCCAAAATATTGGCTAGCTTTCATAGTGCTAGAAGGTGCACTATGAAGTAATCATTAATCATAACCAACTGTTATACCCACAGATCACCTGAGAATAGGAAACTATAGAATGCTCAGCCGGAAAGGGAACATATAGACCACGTCCCTTTCCCCAAGGTTTAGTGCTCATTGCAGAAGAGGGGTTGGAAAGAGTGTAAGAGAAAGAGGCAGTGAATGACTACTCGCGAACATCCTCTACATACAACAGGCCAGCTGCACATACGCATTCACAGCAATGTGACAGCATGCACAAAACCTGTCAAGCCCAAGCCAGACAAAATCCCAGCATGGACAGGGGAGTTGGGCATACAATCCCACCCCTAGCATCCACCCACATGGCATGGACGGCAACTGTTAGCTGCCAGGAAAGAGAGAAACAAAGTTTTTTGTAAAACTGCGTCCCAGGGTAAGTTGACCACACTCCAGCTGAAGGCCATACACTCAAGAATACTTAAGTCGCACACATTCTTTAGAGGTAAAATAAGAAAAAGCCACCAAGGTTGGGGGGGTGGACCTGACAAGAGTTGGGGGCCTGAAGACGATCAAAACACATTGTATGAAACTTGAACTTTTCAAGGAATAAAAAAAGAGAGAGCACAAAGTTAGAAGTTAAGGAGGAGGTTGGGGAGGAGCTGGTGGAAGGAGTGAATATGATCAAAATAAATTATATGAAATGCTCAAAAGTAACAGAAATGTTACTTTAAAAAAGAAGTGCCATAGAAAATGTGGAAACACAGAAAAGGGTTCAAGTACTGCTGTTCCCTATTGTCTTTTTGTGTGCGCCTGCTTCTTTGTGCTGCTATTATCATGTAAGATGCTCTTTTTTCCCCTGTATTAGGTCTGACTACAGGCAGCTCAGGCTGGACTCCTGTTTCAGCCTCCCAAAGAGCTACAATTTCAGGCTCACACTACTGGACACAGTTTCATTTCTTTTTTAAGTTTGTTTTATTTTTAATTGTGTGTATCTGTGTGGGGGTGTGCACATGAGTGCAGGTGCTCGGAGACCAGAAGTGTTGGGTCCTGGAGGAGCTTCAGGTAGACAAAGCATAAGTACAACATGCCTGTGAGTCACCTGATGTGGGTGCTGGGAACTGAATCAAGGTCTTCCACAAGAGCAGGAAGCGCTTTAGCCACTGAGCCATATCACCAGCCCCTCCTTAAGGTTAATGCTGTACCAAACACTTCCCTCTGTTTCCATACTTTAGTATTTTAATGGCTACACAGCATTCCATCAGGCAGTCAGGTTACTGCTTGGCCATTAGTTATTCAGATTGTTTACAACATTCTTTTAACACTTATTGGTTGATCTGTGGGGAGGTGCCACAGCCTGCCTATGCAGGTCAGAGGACAACTCGTGGTTTTCTGCTTCCACAGTGTGGGTCCTGGAGCCCACACTCTGGGGGTCAGGCTTGGTGGTGATCACCTTTTACATGCTTCACCATCTCACCAACAGTCCTGTTGTTGATTTGAGACTGGGTCTCACTATGTAGTCCTGGCTAGCTTGGAACTTGCTATGTAGAGCAGGCTAGTCTTGAACTCACAGAGATCCACCTGCTCCTGCCTTCTGAGTGCTGGGGATCAAAGGCGTGTGCTACCGTTCCTACCTTCAACATTTCTTAAACTTGTTCCCATGAGGAGTTAAAATTCCTTTGCTGATAAATTTGTATGTGATTGGACGTGCCAGCTGGGGAAGGGGAGGCAGCGTGTGTGCTAACGCGCACACACACATGCGCTGACCAGAGGGCAGACTCAGGCGTCGCCCCTTGAACTGGCCACCTTTTGGAGACAGGGTCTTTCAGCGGCTTGGAGGCTCTCGGTTACGGTCGACTAACTGGCCAGCAAGCCAAGGCTGTCCACTTTCCAAATGACAGACTGGAGCTGTGCACCACCTGGCCAGCAGGCCAAAAAAAAAAAATGTCTAAAATTGGAGATTTTCTTCTAGAGAAATACACAAATACTAAGTCTCTTACATTTTATCCTCAGTTTCATACTTTCTTGAAGGGGACACATCTACATTTCTGTGAAAATTGATCCCATTTATTGTTTTGACTTTTTCAAATTTATTTTCTAAAAAATGGTATCAAATTTAAATGTCATATTCTAGTTTAAAAAGAATAAAACTTGATAGACAAGGAGATTCTTTATGAGTTCAAGGTCAGCCTGGTCTAGCAAGATCCTGTCTCAAAAAAAAAAAAAAAAAAAACCAGTGAGTAAATCAAGTTTCTCCCAGGCAGTGGCAGAGGGTTGGGTTCTTACCTTTCTCAGCTTTTCTGGAGAAAATTCCAAGCCAACAAGAAACAGGGTAAAGAAGACCCCAAATTCTCCTAATGTCTCCACCTGTACAATAGACTGAAAAACAAAAGCATATTATTTAATGTTTATTTTACCAAAAGAACATGTGCTGATAATTTAGAGAAATATTCCTTACCCCTTCCCCGCCAAAAAAAAATAGTACTATTTTTTTTTTAAAGAAATAAATTCTGTGAATTTCTCTTATATCTGAGATCTTTTTGGCTTCCTGATTGTGTACACACACACACACACACACACACACACACACACACACACACACACACTTTTTCCTGATTTTCCAGAGGAATATTTATTTTTATTATAGTTTCTCTTGAGAAGCAGCTGTGGGGGTCACTGGCTTTCACACACATGGCCACTCTATCTTCATGAACACCTCTCTTCAGCCCCCTCCTGGGGAAAAGGGAGCCCCAAAGCTGAGGTTAAGGCCAATTCACACTGACTTCTTAGTTGGAAATGAGTGTGTCTAAGAAGGGAAGTTTTTCTTATAAGGTGAACTTTCACATTTGACCACATCCCAGAGGTTTTTATACGTAATATATATGTATTTGACTCATTTGCCATTTGTTTTTAAGACTGTCATACTAAACGAAAAGAAACAGAACAGTACATATGTTTTAATATTTTTAAGTGTTTGTGTAGTATTCCTGTGACCTCATGCTGTCCTGAGCTCATCCTGAGCTAAGTTTGCCAGCGTTCTTGTTCTGCTTTTATTTGTACCTTCCATGTTCACCTTTCTTGCTGCTTTATTTTTACCATGCCTCTTGTTTACAATGCTTTTGTTTGGATACCGTTGTAAAGTCTGTCCTTCAACATGGGAGTTTATTTCACTTACTGCAATGCCAGATGTGATTTCCTTGACATCTTCTTGTTTTTATGCTTCCTTATGGTTACTTCTATTTTCCTTTTATTTCTCTTCCCTTTTCTTGGTCAGACCATAGCTATGATGCCAAAATGATACACTTAAATCTCCATTTCTCAACTTCATAATGAAAGCCTATCAACTTTCTATAGGAAAAAGTTCCTGGCTTGGCTCTCCTAACTATGGCTCATTTTTGGCTAGCACGCTCTTGGGTCTTTACTCAGGATCACATTACCTTCCTATGGTACAGCTGACTTGTCAGCATGCTCGTACTGACTTGTTTGTGAGCTTTCTCTGCTCCCGTGTGCCTGCTTGTAGCCTCAACACTCTAGAGGCGAGAGGCAAGAGGAAGTGGAGCGTCCTCCTAAATCTTACACAGTTCTCTGTGAGTGGAAGTACTTGTTCCGAACATGAACCTGCACAGCTCACTGTGCTGTGGGGCCTTTGAGCCCCTCATGGAATGGAGGGCTGCCTGCACAGCAAGTTAATTTCTCCCTGGAAGGCCCAGAGCTTATAGCCTGAGCAGGCCAGGCCAGCCGCTCTTTTCCTGGCCAAGGATCATTTGCTGCTAAGAGCAGTCTCGTGTGGCTATCAGACTTCAGCCTGGGAAGTCACTGGGCTCCTCTGACATGGTTCAGGAACGCCAACTAGAGCATCCTGCAGGCACCCTGTGCACTGCCTCCTTCCGCTCCCCTGGGGTGTCTTGCAACATGAGCAGGGGTCTGAGGCTGCTCCTGTGCCCTCCTGGATCATTTCCTCCATCAAGAGCTCATAGCACCCACTCTAAGGGTCCTCTTTTCACTGTCCCCACCTACATGTATTTGAGTGACACATTCAAAATGCTTAGGACCTTTTTTCCTGCCAGAAGTGTGTTTATTTCCTTACGACAGGGAGTAGCAACCTGCTCCACAGATGAGTTCAGTGAAAGAAGCCTTAATGTCCACTGTCTCTTGAGACTGGTACTTCAGTCAGCTTTCCCAAACAAAAGGAACTGCATAAAACTACACCAAGACCAACATTTCCTATTGATTTACTGTCTGAATAGTGACCTGGATAATCTAGACCATCGTATCACTAGAAATGCAATTTTTAAAATATTAATGTAATTTAAAGTGACAGAACAGCCTATCACTGAGCATCCCTGCATCAGGAATTGCAATATTCCCATAGATTAGCATCAAGGGTGTCTTTGCCTGGTATCTTCATTGACTCAAGCTCAGATCTGTTTAGTCTTCGTTCATGTTTCTTTGGCATCATGTTAGACACTAAAACAGTTAGAAACATCTGTACCTTAATGCTGTTTAGCCCTGAGGGCCCCAGAAGCACACCACAGATGATATAACCAAACATTGTAGGCAATCCTATTGTCGTACACAGCCAGCCACATGGTAAGGATAGCATTCCTATGGTCACGATGTCCTAGCACAGAAAGAAAAGGTAAGAATCACAGAGCGGCTGGCCGGGAGGATAGAATGGGTAGGAGGTCTCTCATTCATCTCATTAGAATAAAAAACATGTGATGAAAGTGAGAGGAAGAATTCTCATTACTGCTGTCTTGCACAGAAGTTGAGAAGCTTCAACTGTGCCCTAAGAGATAAAGCTCAGTCCTGATAGGACTTGTCTGTTCAAGCTCTTAAAGCATTGTATGATTCTTGAGTATTTGAGTTCCGTGGTTCTGATCCCAGGGCCCTAAGAGCTTATATGCTAATTCATGGTACCTTCACCATTGGATTCCTTACCAGTTTATAACTGTAGAATAGGCTCTCTGGGCCCATTCTAGTCAACACAGACAGTAGCACCTGACATGACTTTCGTCCTCCTATAAAAATTAGCCCCTGGGAGGTGCCCTTGGGCATCCTGTCTTCTCTGTCCATCAGAGAGACTATCTGAAACTCAAACATAGTGCTGTATGTACTCAGGAGACTTAGACAGGAGAACTGCTAAATTCAAGGCTAATCTGCACTGCAGGATGAGTTCCAGGCCAGCCCAGGCTCCGTAATAAGAAAGAGCCCACCCCAACAAAAGAAAACAAAACAAGAAAGGCTTCCGAAAGGACTGATCTGAGTGTTCCAGTGGAGTGTCTGACAGCAAGAAGGCTGACATTCTGTGTGAGGCTGGAGCCACAGCTCAGCCTCACGCTGCTCATGGAGCTCAGCCTGGCTGGCCAGCCCCAGGATGACAGGTGCAGCTTGCCTTAATGAAGTGGTGGTCTGCACGTGGGATAGTGGAATCTCTGGGCTTGGTCAGAATATACTGGTTGTTCTGGGAGTCGATAAGCATGCTGAGGCCCAGGCCCTCCTCCACTTCCCTCTTTGTGATATTCTGCTTGGAATTGGCCTCCTCCTCCTCCACTCTCAGAACTGCCTCAAAGTTGACGCCTTTGACCTGTAAGAACAACCAGTATATTACAATTCGAATTAAATGCTTTCACATTAACATTTAAAGAGTAAAGACTAAAAGAATGACAGAAATGTTTTAGTATTCTGTTACAAAAGGATCAGTAATGCTAAATCTGATACTAGGGTCTGTAAACCCAGCTTACAAGGGTAAGCTCAAGTCCTACCTGGACTCCAGGGCAAATGCAATACCTTGGCGACTTGGCAAGATCCCATCTCAAAATAAAACTGAGAAGGCTGGGTGTGTAACTCAGTGGCATGGCACTTTCCCAGCAATGTGCACAGCCCTGGGCTTAACACCCAGTACTTCCAACAAACAAAACATACAAACCCAATAGTGTCCATTAGCCAGGATTAGGGAATTTTTCAATAGAAGAATTTAAGGGTAAAAATATTAGCACTTATGCTACTTCCAAACATCTCTTTACTTGGTTCATAGTATATTCTTTCAAACATTTATAGCTCTAGAAATAATTAGGAGCTCCTTTCCAATCCCAGAATGAGTGAGCGAAGCACCCTGCTCCTTCCGTGTATCTGTTGTCCCCATACACTTCTGCTCTTACTCTGGTTTGGGTTTACTCCATAACTGTCTGTAGGTCCACAATTCTTTGCATCAGTATGAAATCAGATCCTTTTCCCTAAAGATCTCCCCATGACAGATGAGAAGCCCAAATCCTTCTGCTATGAGTCTGTCTTTTGCAAAATGTAAGAGACTCCCCAGAAGACAAGCACTGCAACCCAACCACCTCAACTTCCTGATTCCAGAGTTCCAACCCAAGCTGAGAGGCAAAGCTGGGGTCTGGAGACATGCCCTTCATACAGGAGTGACTGCAGGTGTTACAGGAGAAAGCAGAGCCAGGTGGTGGTGGCACCTCTAATCGCAGCACTCAGGAGGCAGAGGCAGGCCTATCTCTGACTTTGAGGCCAGCCAGGTCTACAGAGTGAGTTCCAGGACAGCCAGAGCTGTCTCAGAAAACTAAAGAGAGAGAGTGCAGAATAACTAGCTCACTCTGAACACACATCATATTAATCTCAACATGGCACAGAGTGCTTTGGCTTATCCCCATTCTCAGCTTCACTAAGATACACATGTGAGTATCTTGAGCGTGCCAGGGCCCGTGCTCATAGCTTAGCCAGTGGAGGGACCGCTCTGGAGTTCTGCTTACCGATTTATTGTCGTCAAACGCATGCTCCTCTATCTCCTCCTCCAAACGGTCCGCTGCTTTCCTCACGTCTTCGAGAATCTCGTCGAGCATGGACAGACTCTTGTTCTGATGCTGCATATTTTTCAAGGCTTCCACTTGGTGTTTTTCTGCAGCAAGAAGTTCCACATATTCTGTCTCTTCCTAGCAATCCATAAAACATGAAGATGTGGTCAAGGCTATGCTAGGCTACGACTTCCTCAGGTGCGCTGAAGGCTCTCATCTGGATTAGACCCAGGAGAAGTTTCTAGGTCACAGGGCCATTTGTACAGGTGCAACTCTAATTCCAACCAGCAGAGGGAGGCAAGCATCCTACCCTGCCCAGATATGCTGAGCCTGGCAAGATGTGCAGAGCAAGCATCACAGAAACACCAAAGAAGAAAGCAACAGCAAATGGGCTTGCTCACCACCCACCACAGTCCTCTGCTAACACGAAACCACATGCTGAGCACGGCTACATTACAGGCCCACAGCACGAGGCACAGAGGCAAACGGATACCTCATTACTCTGAGTTGACAGGTTGAGTACAACCCAATCCTAGTCAGTTTGAGTTGAGCACTGGGACTTACGTGACATGGGCAGGCACCTCCTAGAGGCAACGATGGCACAAACTGGCTTCGGGAGGAGTGCTCCCTCCAGTCAGCCTTCCTAATTTTGTGTGTCACCCCACCCCGAAGTCCCACCCCCTGACAGACCCCTAGAAAAAGCAGGTTCCTCCCCCAGGTTGGTGGCTGACCTTGATGGCGGCCTCCCTCAAAGCCTCCAGCCGCTGCTTGCTGCTCTCTTTCATGTTGACCACATCCCTGTAGTCCCCCTGCAGGGCTCTCTGCAGTCCATAGATCGCCTGGAAGACTGAATTTTCACTCTCGTTCAACTCTTTCTGGAAAATTTCAAAGGTGTGCACCTGGAAGAGCTTCTCCTCCCTGGAGAGGCTGGTGTCCTTCTCCACTGCTCGAATGGCATTCTTGAGCTTGTTCAGAACCACGTTCTTCTGCCGCAGGAGCCCAGTGAGCCGCCGGCAGCTGTCCAGGACCCACTGCTTCCTCTGCATGGCCGTGGCGCCCTTCCCTCGGTGTAACTTGATGGCATGCTTTGCGACCTCCTCGTGCTCTGCAGCGCTGGCTATCAGGTGACAGAAAGGAAGCAGCATCCAGAAGAGACTCTCATCCAGCACCTTCATGGTCCAAGGATGGAGGGTGGGGCACACAGACTTCTGCTATAATCGGCTCTCATTTTACACACACATTTTCAGCTGAAAAACAAACAGGGTACCGCATCAGTGTCTGACCTCACCGTGTCCAGATCACAATCAAATCCTGAATGCCAACAAACTGTAAGAGGAGAGTAAAGGGCCTTCATCTGACTTTAAAGACAGTGGTAAAAGTTTAAAACATAGCCCGTCCAGGCACAATGTCAAATGTCTGTAATGCCAGCCCTTAGGAGAGGGAGAGAGGCAGATTGGGTTGGGAGTTCAAGGCCAGCCTATATGAGATAACATCTTGTCTGGAAACAACCCGAGAACAAGTAAAACAGTAAGTAAATTACACACAGGTTCATACACTGACCATGTGTGAAAGACAAAAAACTATCCTACTTAAGAAGAGTACAAGTACAAGTACATGAAAAAATCAACTTCCATCCCACAGGAAGCCAGTCTTCTGAGATGATGAGTGGTATGCTCGGCCACTCTGCTTGCTTTCCAAATCCTTGTGGAAATTTTCCAGAATAAGCCCTCGTTAATGAAATAAACACGAAGATTAAAGATATTCACAAGTGTCCCTGGAGCCCTAGAACTTGATCAAATGTTCAAACCATTTCCATCACTGAAACTCAGGTTCATTCTCGTTTCCTCTGAGGGAGACCTAGCACAAACATATCGGTGTCTGGCAAAAAGAACAGAGATAACCTGGTTCCTGAAGTTTTGCTTGAGGGCGTGAGGAAGGTCTTGGTGCCAGCTACAGCTGAGATGACTAGAAGACACTGCCGGGGCGGATGAGAGCACTATTTTAGAAGCCGGTAGCAGCAGTGCTCAGTAATGGTCACTGAGAAAGAATGATCTTGGAGGGTAAAAAACAGACCCAAGGAAAAAAAAACAAAAACAAAGGTTAGAGAGGTCAAGGGAATTAAACCCTAGAAGTTACCAATGGAACAGGCTGTACCTGGAAGTCCTGGCCACAAGGAGTTATGCCCACAAAGGAAATGAAATGGACCGTCTTCACATGTTTTGCAGCTCATGGATATACCCCACCTAATATCTCTCTCTCATTAATTATACAGTATCATGCCTGAATGTATGTCTGCAGACCAGAACAGGGCAGCATATCTCACTACAAAGGGTTATGAGGCACCATGTGGTTGCTGGGAATTGAACTCAGGACTTTTGGAAGAACAGCCAGTGTTCTTAACCTCTGAGCCATCTCTCCAGCTCCCCTCTCTCTTTTTTAAAGATTTATTATTATGTATATAGTGTTTTGCCTGTATATACACAGGTGCCCCAGAAGAGGGCACCAGATTCATTATAGATGGTTGTGAGCCAACATGTCATTGCTGGGAATGAGCAGTCAGTTCTCTGAGCCATCTCCCACTTAAACTTTTAATGGAGCCTGCAACTGTCTGTCATAAGGCCTCCCCCACCCTAAACATACCAGTATTTCATCTGCCCAGCAATCCACCTCTAAAACATACATATCTTCACTACAAACCCCAGTGATTTTCCTGACAAAGAAGGCTAGCTGTAACAAAATGAAAGGCAGCATTTCTAGAGATTGCATTGTGACATAACCAGGAAGGAAGAGACAATGGCAACAGGCTAAGAAAAAACAAACATAAGATCTTGGATCTCTGAGTTCAATGCCAGCCTGGTCTACAGAGCAAGTTCCAGGACAGCCAGGACAACAGAGAGGAACCATGTCTCAGAAAACAAAACAAAATATGAGAACTCAAAAATCCTAGAGGCCAGGTCATTTAGTGAGGGCTACTACATGTAAGTGCTTTAACATGCTGATTCTAAAAATATATTGTTTCTCTTGGGTTTGGGTTACTATTGCTTTGATGAAACACCATGACCAAAGCAACTATGGGGAAGAAGGGTTTATTTGGCTTAGGCTTCCAAATCACTGCTCATTATCGAAGGAAATCAGGACAGAACTCAAGCAGGACAGGAACCTGGAGGCAGGAGCTGATGCAGAGGCCACGGAGGGCGCTGCTTACTGGCTTGCTCCTCATGGCTTGCTCAGCTTCTTTCTTATAGAACCCAGGACTAGCCCAGCAGTGGTCCCACTCATAATGGGTTTGGCCCTCCACATCAATCACTAATTAAGAAAATCTCCTACAGGATTACAATACAGTTCTCCTCCCACCCCTGCCCTTTGAGATAGGGTTTCTCTGTTTTATCTCTGGCTGTCCTAGAACTCCTAGAACTCACTCTGTAGACCAGAACTCAGAAATCTGCCTGCTTCTGCCTCCCGAGTGCTGGGACTAAAGGCGTGTGCCCCCACAGCCAGGCTGGAGGCATCTGTATAATTGAGGGTCCCTCCTCTCAGACTTTAGCTTGTGTCGAGCTGACACAAACTAGCCAGCACGCTGTTAAACCAGTGGAATGCCACCGTGGTCAGAGTAATACTCGAAATCCAAGAAAACAGCACATTGTGGTTTAAGTCAAAGCATTAGACTGCAGCAGGACTTGGCTGGCGGGACTAAGTGTCCAGAGAAGGTGCTGCAGGAGCTTTACTCCATGCAGGTATCCCACACCGGTTACCAGTTCGAAAGCAAACTCGCCATTTCCTCTACATGGCTATACAGTGTTCCCAGGGAGGCGCCCCCCTCCTTTACAGGGGCCAGCGGCAGCCTCCCCAGAAATAGGGCAGGAACTCGGAATCCTTTGCTTATGCTTCTCACGTCCCCCAGAACATCTCCAAATGTGATTATTTTACAGATCTTTCTCATGCTTTACAAACCCTACTTGGAACAGTATGTGAGAATGGCATAATACACTCATTTCTGCTTCCTTCCTCAACCAGGTTCCTGGAATCAGCTATTCTTCCAGTTCTTAAGGGAAGGAGTTCATTTTTAGGACAACTTTTGAGGATTCGGTTGTGTGAGCAGTAATATTTTTTATAAAAGATACTTATAATCTGAACATGATATTGAAATTATCTAGACACCTTTAAAACACAGACAACTTTTAGATAAGTTCATTTTCTCTTACCTTCAAATCTGCCTACAAAATCCTATGAACTACTAAACTATAGTATTTTTTCTTGAGTACATTAGTAAACATTTTTAGTTTGTTGTTACTTTTAATTACTAAAAAAGACATTTGGATGACAGGTATGATGGTAGACACTCGTAATCCCAGTACTCAGGAGGCTAAGGCAAGAAGGCCAGGAGTCTGAGGTCACTACGGACTATAGAGAAAGTTTTAGGCCAGCCAGGCTACATAAGAAGACCACATTTCCCCCCAAAGGCAATAATGATACTAATAAAATGGAAAGACACTTTGGGCTTCTGTAATATTGAGCAGATACCTACAACAGCCTGGACAAATCTCAACACTGACTGCAGAGATTCCCCACAAGGCAAAAATACTGTAAAGTACACTTAACATTCTCAAAATGGCCATATGATTGGGATGCCAGTCGGATGAGTAGTTGTTAGGGCAAGGACCAGGAGGTGGTGGCCATGGCTACTAAAAGGAGCAGGAGGGATCCCCACGAGCCAGATAGGCTTGGAACGATGGGCAAGGATGAGGGATGAGGATGCCGGTACACACTCACTCATCCTGGGCTCCTACAACTGGGTAATCTGGACAACATCCCAAATTTGACTGATGACAGCTTCCTGCTTATATATGGCTCAGAGGGCAAAGCACTGTTCCTGGAGAAAGCAAGTGAAGGCTCTACTCCATCTAATTTTTCTTATTATTCTTACAACTGCACTCAGATCTACAGTCATCTTAAAGGAGTTTTAAAGTTATTTTATTATTTATCAAATTTCAGATTTATTTATTTTGTTATTTTTGTGTGTCTGAGTGTTTTGCCTACAGGTACGTGTATGTACCATATGTGGGTCTGGTACCCATGGAGATCAGAAGAGGATGCCAGAGAGCTGGAACTGGAGTTACAGGTAGTTGTGAGCTCCCATGAGGGTGCAAGGAATAGAACCCAGGCCTTCTGGAAGTGCTCTTAATGGCTGAGTCAACTCAAAATAAGTTTAAGTTGCTCACAAGTAACCCTAAGGAGGCACAGAGTTTAGAACTAAGCCTACCACTATTTTTATATTTGAATGAGGAAATGCCCTAAACAGAAACAGAAACTACTTACTTTCCTCTCTCCCTCTCTCTCTCTACCAGGGTCCAGGGTCTCTCTGTATATATGTAGCTCTGGATGTCCTAGTACTCACTATGAAGACTAGACTGGCCTCAAACTCAGAGATTCCCCCCTGTCTCTGCCTCCCAAGTGCTAGAATTAAAAGTGGGTGAAACTACACCTGGCTTTCTTTTTTTTTTTTTTCTTTTTTCTTTTTGTTGTTGAGGAAGAAACTTTCTGAGAGCCAGACTCTTGGCTACTCATCATTTAGAACAGCAACATCAACACTTCCAGCAGAAGAGACACATTCAGTATAAGAATTTAGCCAGGCCTGGTGGTGCATGCCTGTAATCCCAGGCATCTGGGAGGCAGAGGCAGGTGGATCTCCGTGAGTTCGAGGCCAGCCTGGTCTATAAAGCAAGTCCAGGACAGCCAAGGCTGCACAAAGAAACCCTGTCTCAAAAAACAACAAAACAAAACAAAACAAACAAACAAAAAAAGAATCAAATAATTTTTCCAGGCATGGTGACTGATTCTTCTAATCTCAGCCATAAGTTTTAAGAACAATTTGGGATATATGGCAAGTTCCAGACCAGACCAGACTACCTAACAAGATTGTGCCTCAAAACAAAAAAACACAAAACAACAACAAAAACATCAGAGCCTTTAATACCAGCACTGGGAAGGCACAGACAAGTGGTGCTATGTGAGTTTGAGGTTAGCCTGGTCTACATAGCAAGTTTCTTGACAGCCAGAGCTACCTAATGAGACCCTGTCTCATAAAAACAAAATAAAAGAATCATAAAATTTACTTCAAAACTTATTAAGAAGAAAAAAAAAATCTTATTTTTCATTTCCAAAACACGGTGTTACTACATAAGGCAGGTGGGCTACTTTCAAACTCCTCGTTCCTCTAGCTCAGTCTCCAAAGTGGAATTCTGTCCTTTACAAGACAACATTTGAGTAGGCTAAAGAAGGAGAGATGGATATGAGACAGCGAAGAAAAGTCTCAATAGGGAAAAAAATTCCTGAATTAAAGTCCTGTTTATTTGTTTGTTTTTTGAGCCAGTCTTACTATGTAGCCCTGGCTGGTCTGGAACTAGCTATGTACACTAAGCTGGCCTCGAACTCAGAGGGATCTGAGTCTCTGCCTCCCAAGTCCTGGGATTAAAGGAGTGCTCTACAACAGCAAAGCCTATTTTAAATTCTAAATTCCATTTCAAAAGAGCACTTATACCCACATAAACACAACAGGTAGTTGGTAAAGATGAAGCGTATTATTCATATCTAATTACTACAAGAACTAGAAAACAAGAAGGAACATGTAAATGAAGAGGAGGTTCTTATGATTCCTAAAGTACTTTTTAAACTTGGGGCAGGGAAGCATTCATTAGTTGGCCAATCCTTGAAACTACTTTGGAAGGGAAAATAAAAAACAAAACAAAAAATGATTATATGGAAGAGAAATAAGATGTCATGAACCAAAGAAAGATGAGAAAAACAGAGGCTGAGCAAACAGTGATTTGACTTATAGCAGAGAACCATAGCGTCTTGATGGTGTCCAAAGGGCTGTTTAAACAGCTACTTTATTTGTTCAAGAGGTACCAGCTTAAGTCCACAAAGAAAGGAGACAGCGCCTACTCACTAGCCAGCTGCTTGTGTTTGTTCTTTCTTTAGTTAGGGAAGCCAAGAAGGAGAAAAAGGTCTGTGAAGAAAGAGGTCCTTTCAGCAACAGCAAATATTTCTCTGGTAAGTAAGCAAATCCACTTTGTGCCCCAGGAAGAGGGGCTGGATGCTGAAATAAAGCCACTAAGATCTACACAAGAGGATGGAGCCAGAGGTTAAACCCACTGTGCTAGAGTGACCTTCAATGTCACTTTCAACTTACTTGATTGGTTACACCCAATGGGCGGGGGGAGCAACCACACACACCTAAATTAAGAATCAAGACTCCCTGGGGGATGAGTAAAACACCTGGGCTGCTGGTTGACTATGACACCTCCCGGGCTGTATAAGCTTAAGTCATGTGTTGCTGGGCACCGCACACCCCTTATAAAAGACAATCTTGATGTGTCCGTTTCCAGGTATGTCTTTAAAAAGAGGCTGTCTGCCTCAGTACCTCACAGGGCAGGACACAAAAAATCCCAGGGACGAGCAAAAACGGGAGGCTCAGGGAGCTGATTCTCCGAGTCTGGGGGAAGTCTTGGGAAAGGGAGCCCCCGAAGCCACTGCAAAGAACTTCTAGAAAAGGAGCCCCAACCCCCAGGAAAGTAGACAAAGGCGGTCCCCTAGGAAGGGGCCCCTTCTGGAAGAGACAACCCAAGAAGGAGTAGGGTAGGAGTCCCCAGGATTGAGCTCCCCGAAGGGGACCCTGGTGGAGCGCGTCTCAGGACAGGAGCCCCGCGGCAGCAAAGCTCACCCCGATGGAGGAGGCCGCTCTCTGGACAAGCAACCTCAGCATCACTGTCCCCGATCGGGAGCTCCCCAGAGCGGCGAGCAAAAGGACCGACGTGGACTTGCCCACATCTCTCCTGGCCGCGGGACCAGGACACGGGGGACGGCACCGCCCTCTTCTTACTTCAGACTCTTCTGACGTGCGACAGAAAAGTAGTTGCTGCCCCTTTAAGCAGGCTGCCGGTGAACAGCTCCGTCGGCCTTTGCGCGGCGCGTTGCACTCCGGGAACTGGAGTTTCCAGAGCTAGCCGGCGAGTCGCCTTCCATAGGATGCGTAGCCTAAGAGCCACAGAACATCAACAGTCTCCGAAAGAGAGGTTGCGGTTTTCAGAAAACGCCGTACCTCAGAGCTGAAGAGCGCCTGCCTGCACTGCACCTGGAGAGGCTAAGGCTGCCAAGCTTCCCAGTCGGCGAAAGCGAGCGTCAGTATACTGCGCCTGCGCAGAGTCTGCAGCGTTCGCCTGCGCCGAGGGAGAGCGTCGTGCGCTTGCGCAGAAAGCCGGAGCCGCTTCGGCAGCGTTGGGGAGCATGGTAGGTGGCAGGGTTTGCGCTTGGCAGGTGCGGCCAGAGCAGGGTGCGGAGGTCACCGCTCCGTGGCGGCTTCTGGATAACTGAACTGAGGGGCCCGGGTGTCCCCGTCAGAGTATTGAGGGAGGGGCACGACTGACTTGAAGAGGCATGGCGTGGAGAGGGATGTGAGGAACCCAGTTGGGTCTCTGGGAGGGCAGCGGCGCCTGGTCGGCCCGGTACTGACCGGACCGGAGGGCGGGACGGGGCTGTGCGAAGGGTGACACCTGCCTGCTGGGCGGAGCCGACCCGCGTTTGAGTGGACAGTGACGCCGACTAGGGCGGAGCTGGCGGAGTTCTGCCAGCTCTGGATCCGGGGAGGTTTCTGGAAGAGATGGAAGGAAGCAATCCCGGGGAGGTGGTGCGCGAGTCTGCGGGGTGAGGATGGTTTGTGATCCGCGCAGCTGGCGCCGGGCGAGGAGATCACCAATTGCCTCCTCCGTTCTAAAGCCAAGATCAGGCTGGGGATCCCGGAGACTGGGAGGGACGGGCAGAACGCCTAGGAAGAGAAGGGTTAGCCTAGTTAGCCTAGGAGAGTTGTGCAAAGGCCTAGGACCAGGGGGCGGGCGTCTGACAGTTCCATTCCTTGGACCCCTAGAGGGTCCACGCTCCGAAAGGCTGCGGGTGGATTGGAGCCGAGGAAGACACGTTTTGTCTCTGTCCTTAGAGGGATGTCTGCTTGGCTTGGAGTTTGTGTAGAGGAAACAGGGCAGAGGACCGAACCTCAGAGAGGGAAGAGGGGATGGAATGAATACCGAGAAGGGTGAGGCTGGAAAACTAGAAGATGTATGAACCTAAAAACCAAGAAATAGTAAGGTATGAACTTAAAAATCAAGCCGCCCAGAGACTCTTCTGACCCAGCGGCCAAGCCACTCATCTATATGCATGTGAACAGGAACATATCTTGGAAAGGAAATACTGGGAGGCTGAAGATCTGGAAGCATTTGGCTGAAGCGCTCTTCAGGCCTGCACATGCCAAAGCACAGTTAACCTACAGTGGGCCACAAATTTATTTGATCAAATGGTTGTCCTGTGATCCCTTTGCAAATTGTCCTTAAGAGGAGGTATTTTGCTAAGCGTCTCTGGAAGGGCATTTTACAGATGCTTTAAAAAATCTCATATAGGATCACTTTCGTGCCCAGATTGTGTGTTGTTTTTCACAAGATAACATATAAAACGTTTGGAACTTTTCGTTCTGGCTTCCACTGTTCAGAAGATCGACTTGTCCTGCTTTCTGTACATCTCACTGATTATCACTTGCTGAAACAATTCTGAACAGCTCCTGGTGCATTTTGAGTAACTGTGTTGAGCTCTGTGGGAGACTATGAAAACACAAATCAGTGGCTGCAGGCACTTTTAACAGTAGTCTGTTGTAAATTTAGTTTTGAAATATCTGGGAGTGATGAAGATGAGCCATTGGGAATGTTAAACAGAGTATACCCGCCAAAGGATGACCCTGAAGGAGCCGTTAGTCTTGATAGCTTTTTAATGTGATATTTTATTGCATTTTAAGACCCAAAGACCAAAAGAGTGAAGTGCTGGCTGAGCTGTGAGAGCTCCTTTTTCAGAGCACCTGAGTTCCATTCCCAGCCTCCCGCAACTTAATTGCTTGTAACTCCAAATCCAGGGAAGGTAAAGTTCTCTTCTGGCATCTGTAGGGTATGCGTGCGCATGCACATGCTAACACACAGCATATGTATATTTGACAGGGCATGATGGCATATACTTTTAATCTCAGCACTTGGGAGTCAGAGGCAGGTATGTCTGTGGGTTCAAGGCCAGCCTGGTCTACATAACAAGTTCCAGGCCAAACAAGGCTATGCCAATCCTTGAGGTCAATTGGACTATCTCAGTTTTTATTTCAAGAGTTTTATACATTTTAGGGGCCAGTAAGGTGGCTTTGCAGGAATGGGTACCTGCCACCAAGCTTGATGACCTGAGTTCAATCCCTGTAATTTATATGGTGGTTAAAGAGGACCAACAATACAGTTGTTTTTACATATACAAACACACATTGTGGCACAGACACACAAAATAAATATGAATGAAAAATAAAAATCCTGAGCAAAGTCTGGTGCAGTGGAGCACACCTGTAATCCCAGCACTTGGGGAGGCAGAGGCAGGCGAATCTCTGTGAGTTCGAGGCCAGCCTGGTCTACAGAGTGAGTCCAGGAGAGCCAAGGCTACACAGAGAAGCCCTGTCATGAAGAAACAAATCCCAAGCATTTAAACACTAAAATAATGGCACATAGGAAACACCTGTAGTTCTTTGGCTCCCGTGAAACGGTAAGCTCTGTTGAAAGCCACTTGCTGAGCAGACCTTGCATGGATTTCGAACCTGCTTACAGTAGTGGATGGACTTGGAGCTCACTTGCTTTTCCTGTAAATTTTTGGTTTATGAGCCATTTTTCCTAAGAAAGTTATTTGCCAATTCACATTTCTTCCCATTGAATCCTAGTTCTCTTGGCTGTTGCTTAATGCAAAGCAAACACTATTTAGATTTAGCTGTTGATTATTGTTTTTTAAAAACATTTATTACCGGGTCTAGAGAAATGGCTCATCAGTTAAGAGAACCTGCTTTCACAGAGAACTCAGGTTCAGTTTCTAGTGACCATGTGGCCGCTCACAATTGTCTTTAATGCCAATTGCAGGTGATCTGTCACCCTCTTCCAGCTTTTATAGGCACCAGACATACAGACAAAACCCTTATACACAGAAAATAAAATAAATATTATAAAAATATGTTTTTTACTATGAGGCAGACATGTGGAGGTCAGGAGTTATCTTTGTGGGATCAGTTTTTTCCTTCCCCCTTTATGTGGGTTCTGAAGATTAAACTCGGTTGTCAGGCCTGTGCTATGAATACACTGAACCATTTTGTCAGGCACTTTCTTATGGGAGACAACAAGAAGGATTAAGGGTCTCACTGTGTAGCCTTGTCTGGGCTGGCCTGGAACCCACAATGTAGATAGGATGTCCCCAAACTCATAGAGATCTATCCCCTGCCTCCTGAGTGCTGGTATTAAAGGTGATATCATTTTGTTATGACAAAATCTGTAAAGCTAACATCAAATTATGTAACTGTTGCCAGCTCCTTCATGGGTGTTGCTGCTGCTCGTGAACTAGCACCTTGATACTCCCTTGAGGTCTGCGATGGGTGGGGCGAACAGATTTTAACATATTGGAGGGGACCTGTTGACTTTCGTCTCCACTGCTGCGCACTCTTTATCTGGTTGGAGGAGTACCCAACAGACTTGTGTCTGCCTCGTGCTGCACTGGGTGAAGCTGAGTTGTCACACACTGGGAGGGGCCTGCAGAGGTGCGTTCAGGAGTCCTATAGCTCAGAACCAGGCATCATCCAGTCTTCCAGGGGGCTACAGTGTCTTGATGTGCAACTCTGATATCACACTTGTTAAATGGTGTGGCTGTTCCAGGGAGATAACTGCTGGATCATCTTGGAGGTTATTGCTTGCTATGTTAAATTTTCTTTTAGTGTACAAATTCATAGTGATTAGCATGGTCCCTCTATGTGCAGCCACCCCCTTTATCTCATTCCAAAATATTTTTGTCACCTCAAAGAAAACCATGTACCCATAAGCATTTTCCAATTCTTCCCTCCCCTCAGCCACTGGTTTCCACTTGCCTACAGATTTGCCTATTCTGCACATTCCTATAGCATATAACACCTTGTATACTATATGGTCCTTGTATCTGGCCTATTTCACTGAGCAAAGCGTTTTGAGATTCATTCACATTGCAGCATTTGTCACTGCTTCATTCCTTTTTCATAACTGAATGATACTCTGTATACACACATCAAAATTAGTTTTATAACAATAATAGAATTTCTAAATCTAGCATTAGGAACTATTTTACAGTAGATACCTTATCTATTCTTAATAGAGGACCATTGGGAACAGCAAATTTGTCTTTCTCTTAAGGCTTTTTAAGTATTTCCAGCTTTGCCAGTCTTCCTTTAAGGAGATTGTCAGAATAACAAAAAGATCCTGTCTCTATAAGTTGTCAAATGACTATGATAGCATATGACATCTGTCCTAATTTGACTAATTTGATCTTAGCCAAGAATGTACCTTGGGTACTTTGTTTAGTCTTTTTAATAGTTCAGTTTTAAAGGATAGTATGTAGAATACATTCCTCCAGAACCTATATTGGGACAGCAGATAAGAGCCAACAATCCAGCTGCCTGTATAAAGTTTTATTTGCACGTCCATATTGTCTGAACTGTTGGCCTTTACTCTGCAAAGCCAAGTATGTATGAGAGACTGTATGGCTATAGCTCATGGTGTTCACTGTCTAGGCTTGGTTTCAGGAACTCTGTGTATCTTTAGTCATTGAGACTATAGAGTGCTTTTGTTTATGTAAGTAACTGTGCTCATCAGAATTTACCATGCCAGAAATTGAAGTAAACATATTTTGGAATTATAATAGCGGGACCTGGAGAGATGGCTCAGCTGTCAAGAGCACCTGGCTGCTCCTCCAGAAGACCTGGGGTTCATTCCCTGGAAGCTCCCAACCAACTGGAGCTCCAGTCTGGGTGTATCCGACACCCTCTGCTGGGCTCCATGGATACTGCACACATACGGTGCACAGACACGTATAGCAGGCAAAACACTGCACACATGAAAATAATGAAATTTCAAAAATCTTTAAAAACAATTTGCAACAGTGAACCATTTTTTGCCTTACATCTATGAAAATATCTTACTGTCCAGTATTAGAAAAGATAATTCTTCTGCTCATTTTGGCGGCACATATTCTAAGCTTAAAAGGATACAGAGGAGATTAGCCCGTGTGCAAGGATGGCAAGCAAATTCATAAAGTGGACTATATTTTTAAAAGAAGGTCCCAGTCTTTCTGTGTTCATCCTCACAAATCATGGCTTCCCTAGAGGCTTCCCCTCCATGCTCGTGAGGAGAAGAGCATGAGACTGGTGACATTTAGAATCGTAGGAAGTCTGTTTTGTCATTGTGAGCCCCAGAAGGTCTGAGCACCCAGGATCTGCAGTGCCTACTTGAGGGTACTGTGTTTGGATTGCATCATCCTACTCCTGCTGGGTCATCAGTGGTGTTTGACAACATGAATTTTGCCGCAGGACTCTGGAACGTGCAGTTTGTTGTTGGTGCTTGCATCTTTACAGGGGACATTGAGCATATCTAATTTCGAAGGGGGCAGTTGACCATTTTAGGGTTCAGGACAGGAGAATATAACTGTATGACTCATTGGTAGATTTTTACATGTTATTTCAAGAGATTTTCCTAAGCCAATCATGTTTCCTGCTTTGCTGTGGCAGCTAGGAGGCTTGGAGCCTGCTTTTCAGCCCATTTTCAACTTTTGTACGTGGTATGCATGTCTTTTATTCTAGCCATATTCTTACCTTCTTTTTCTCCTTTATTTCATCTTCATCTTGCTGTTCATTATGTATTTTATTCTGTGTTGCTATAAATTCTCACCTTTACTTGAAGAAGATTAAGTGTAATCTTCAAGTAAAAAACCATTCCCTTATTATTGTATAAAGCGTTTTGTTTGATTAAAAAAAAAGCCTCAGGACTGGTGATACACCGTGTATGAGGCCCCGGCTTTGATCCCCAGTACTACCAAATAAATAAAGAAACCTCTGTGTGGTGGACTCTGTTTTGATTTCTAGAAATGAGTAGTTACTTCTGGGGTTACTTTTACCACATTACCTTAGAAACTAGCTATGGGAGGCTGGGAGTATGAAGATGCTATCCTGTTTCACTGTAGGCTATATATAGCACCATTACCTGACAATTTTGTTATTTATTACCTACCCACAGCCTCTGCCCTACTTTTCATTTCCCATACAGTGTTATCATTTTCATTTCATCATAAACACTTTTTGTGCTTACTTGTGACACTTGTAATTACCTCCAAAGTGATTCTCAGTTATTTTGTATCGCCATCAGCATGGTTCTGCTGAACCAGGAAATGCTTTAAAACAATAGTGTTTCCAAACTCTCAGTTTTTTCCTTATTCATTAGAGCCTAAACTTCATGGAAGCATAATGACTGTGCAGGTGGCCCTGGGATGGCCTCCGGTCCCTGTGTTGTTAACTGAAGCTCAGACGTATATTGCTGACGCATTGTGCTAATATTTTGGTGGTGGTGGGGAGGACTATATTTTATGCAAAAGGAACTGAGTAGATATCAAAATGTTATTCTTTTCTCTTTTTTCTTTTTTCTTTTTTTTTTTTTTTGAGACAGGGTTTATATAGCCTTGGCTATCCTGGACTAGTCACTTTTAGACCAGGGTGGCCTTGAACTCACATAGATCTGCCTGTTTCTGCCTCTCTGAGTGCTGGGAATAAAGGCATTCACCACCAGGCATGGCTAAAAATGTTTTTCTTTTCTTACTTTTTTTTTTTATTTTTTTAAGATGAGCTCACTATGTAGCCCTGGCTGGCCTGGAACTTTCTATGTAGATCCACATGTCTGCCTCCCCTGTGTGAGGATTAAAGGTTTGTGCCACCATACATCATGCCTTGATTATTTAGTTAAATACATATGCACACATATATGTGTATATCTAAATTTTTTGTTGTTTTTTGAGACAGAGTTTCACTGTGTAGTTTTTGCTGTCCTGAAACTTGCTCTGTAGAGCAGGCTGGCCTTGAACTCATAAAGGTCCACCTGCTTCTGTCTCCCAAGTGCTGGGATTGAAGGTGTGCACCACCACCACCCAGCAAGTTATTTATAGACAGGGTCTCGAAGTATAGTCTTGGCTAGCTTAGAATTCCTTGTGTAGAGGCTGGCCTTGGACTTGTTCCAGTCTTTCTGCCTCTGGCTCCCAAGTTCTGGGGTCACAGATGTGCAGCACCACTCTTGGCTTGCAGTGTATTTCCTATAAAATGTTGATGGTCATTACTTTTGGAGATTAAACTTTTATTTATTTGTTGCTGCATAGATGCTGTCATTTTCAGAAGACTTGCAGTCTTTTGAACTGATGAAGAACGAGGTTTTGCTTGCTGTTATTCTGAAAGTTGAGTCATCCAACCAGACAAATAGAGCCAGTTAAAATGTAGGTGTTAAGAATAGAAGCTGAACAAACATGGCCTTACTGGGTTTCCTGCTTTCTTTTCCATCCCAAAGCATAAGCTTAAATCAGCTCAGAAGGACAAGGTCCGCCAGTTCATGGCATGCACTCAGGCTAGTGAGAAAACGGCTATCTACTGCCTGACACAGAATGAGTGGAAACTAGATGAGGCCACAGACAGCTTCTTCCAAAACCCAGAGGCGTTCCACCGAGAGTCTATGAAGAACACCGTGGACCAGAGGAGGCTGGAGCAACTGTATGGAAGGTACAAAGGTAAGGGATAACCTGGCAGCAGGGCCAGACCAAACCTTCCAGAGAGCAGCATGAGTGGTGGGTGGACAGCAGCGTTCCAGACTGTCCTCCTGGTGGTTAGTTTTAGTAAAGCTGGAGATGAGGGAGGAAATGGAAGGACTGACAGAAAACGAGCGAGACGTAGTCCCTGCCCTCTGATACAGTGAATGCCATGCTGAGGACAGCCACGGGGAACTACTTTGTAAGCCCCCCACCCCTCGAGCTCTTCTGTTCTGGTTGAAGCAGGTTTCTGATTTTTAATAGAACCTTACCTATATCCCATAAGAATGGTGGCGTTTTTCTCCATCTGTAATAGTTACTAAGATGTCTGGTTTCATTAATTTCATTTGTGTCATCAGTTTTTCTTTGCTGCTGAGTTCCTTGCTCCGTACCTATAATCCCAGCACTCAGGAAGCTGAGGCAAGAGAATTGCTGCAAATTCAAGGCCAACCAGGATACACAACAAAACTCTAGCTCAGAAAACAAGTACATCATTTAGAGTAGAGTAGTAGGGCTGGAGAGATGGCTCAGTGAGTACTTGCTCTACAAGCCTGAGGACCTGAGTTCAGATCCCCAGAGCCCACATAAGAGCCAACTGTGGAGAAACACACCAGCAGCTCCACTCCTAGTGGATGGATACCAGGGGTCACTGGCCCACCGTTATAGCCACAGCATCGTGCTCCAGGTTCAGTGAGAGATCCTATCTTAAAAAAATAAGGTGGGCTTGGAGAAATGGCTCATAGATAAGAAAACTTGCTGCTTTTACAGGAGGTCAGACTTTGGTTCCTAATGTCTATGTGGTGATTCACAACCCTTTGTAACTCCAGTTCCAGAGGAACCGACACCCTTATCTGGCTCCTGCTGGCAGCAGACATGCATATGGTTTAATACATATAGGCAAAACAGTCATACAAATAAAATAAAAAGCATAATAACATGGAGAGAAATAAGGGAAAGTACTTCAGATTGACCTGTCTGGACATGCACATACAGGCTTGTGCTTCAGCACACATGCGCCACATGTGCAACACAAATCTCTACCATCATGTGTAAAATAATGTGTGTGTAGTGCTTAATAACCAAAAGTGAGTTGTCTATGAAGGGCAATCTTTATTTGGGCAAAGAAGTTACAGATTTTTTCATTTCTATGTTTGACCCAATGGAATTCACATGTCTACTATGATGATGTCTTATAATACATATACTGTCAGAAATGACAAAATCTAGTTTTTGAGATCTTGCTGAAGTGTCTTTAACATAATTTATTCTTTCTTTTTTAAAATTAAGTTTATTACTTTATATCCCCATCATAGCTTTCCCTCCCTCCTCCCAGTCCCTGTCTCCGCCCCCTTCTCAGAAAAGGGGAGGCATTCCGCAGATATCAGCCAGGTTGGCATATCAGATTGCAGTAAGACATCTTTGGTTGAGGCTAGGCAAGGCAGCACAGTTAGGGGACAGGGATCAAAGGCAGGCAGTGTAGTCAGAGACAGCTGCTTCCTCTTTAGAAGTCCCACATGAGGACCCAGCTACACAACTGCTACTTATGTGCGGAGGGCCTAGGTCCATGCTCTTTGGTTGTTGGTTCAGTTTCTGTGAGCCCTATGGGAACAGGTTAGTTGACTCTGTAGGTCTTGTGGTGTCCTTGACCCCTCTGGCTGCTTCACTCCTCCCTCCTCCTCTTCTGCAGAATTCCCCAAGCTCCCCTTAATGTTTGGCTGTGGGTCTCTGCATCAGTTTCCATCAGTTGCTGGGTGAAACCTCTCTGATGACACTTATGCTAGGCTCCTGTCTTCAAGCATAATAGAATATCATTAAAAGTGTCAGGGGTAGGCTGTCTCTCATGGCCTGGTCTCAGTCTGGACCAGTCATTGATTGGCCCTTCCTCAAATTCTGCTCCATCTTTTACTCCTGCACATCTTGTAAGCAGGATAAACTGTGGTCTTAAGGTTTGTGGCTGGGTTGGTGTCCCAATCCCTCCATTGGAAGTCTTGTCTGCTTACAGGAGATGCCTCATTCAGGCTCCATATTCCCCATTGCTGGAATAGATTCCTGAGAGTTTCCATTGTCCTAGGTTTCTAGTCACCCCAGAGATGGCCCCTATAATCTGATACCCTTTCCCTCTGTCCTCTCCCCACCTCATCCCTCCTGTTCCCATCTCCACCTTCCATTCACTCCTGTTGTCTAATCCCTCCTGTTCCCATCCCTCCTTGGCTCAGTCCCCACCTTCCACACACCCCTGTTGTCTAATCTATTTCCCCTTCTCAGTGAGATGCAAGCATCCTCCCTTGGGTCCTCCTTGTTACTTAGCTTCTTTGGGTCTGTGTTTGTAGCCTGGTTATCCTGTACTTTATGACTAACACCCGCTTATAAGTGAGTATATACCATGTTTGTCTTTCTGAGTCTGGGTTACCTCACTCACGATGATCTTTTCTAGTCCCATCTATTTGCCTGCAAATTTCATGATGTCATTGATAGACAGATCCTGAGTTATTTCATTTCTAAACTACACATCTGAGGTAGTGAGTGTGAATTTCTAAGCTGTTAAATGTGGGTGTGTAAGTTAACTGAATTTCAGAATTATTGTCCCACAGCATTAGAACCAGCAAGAGAAATTACTTAAAAAGAAAACAGTCAACCACTCTTGTTTGGCAGGATGTAAGAACCATTCCTTTGCATCCCTCTTGCCCGTCAGAGCTGGAGACACACCCACGGCCACGTGCATGTGAAGCAAGCCTTGTGTTACCGAGCTTCACACGCAGCCAGAAATTAAATAGGAGTTTTGGCTTTGGTTTTAGTTTTTTTGGTATTGATGTTAGAACCCAGGACCTCAAGCACACCATGAAGCACTCCTCCACCAAGCTTGTGTGCTCAGACCTTAAATTAATTCTTAATGACATCATCCCTTCGCAAGAGTGGTTTTTCAGTGTTTTTTCTTTGCCCAAATTCCAGAACTCTAGATTTTTAAGGATGGAACTGTTTCCTTAATGCTCCGTATTTGTTTCATACTTAATAGAAATGGCTGTTCATTGATGGGTGTGGCTGAAATACTTGATAGAACTGTACAATAGAGTAGTAGGAGTCTGACAAGCTATTTTAGGATTGCTTTCGATGTGGTTTGACTGTTCTCCCCCTGACTTCAACAACAGACCCACAGGATGAAAACAAAATCGGGATTGATGGGATTCAGCAGTTCTGTGATGATTTGAGCTTGGACCCTGCCAGCATTAGTGTTTTGGTCATAGCATGGAAGTTCAGGGCTGCCACTCAATGTGAATTTAGCAAAAAGGAATTTGTGGATGGCATGACAGAGCTGGGGTAAGTAAATTATTCCCAACTTAAACTTTTCAGAAGGAAAGATACTTGAATCATTTTTTTTTCAACAACTGATAAATACTAATTTTATATACATGTATTTTCTTTGTGTATTATAATCCTTTGGTTTCCTTTCAGACTCAAGGTTTTATCCGCTGTCTTCATTCACATTAATTCTTTTTTATTCTATAAACTTAAAAAATTCCCTCTAGTGGTGCTGAGGAGATGGCTCAGTGGTTTAGAACTTGCAGGGCCCTTGGACCCGATCCCTTTAGCCACCTCAGGTATCTGCATACAAGCGTGCATATACACATGTGAACATGTGCACACACATGCATACATGTGCCAAAGCTAACAAAAACAAAGGTTCATGCTTTAAAACAAGTATTCCTTCAATTTCGAATTAACAGGGAATAACAGGGTAAGATTTTTAACTGCTCTTGTTATTTCATACTAAATGTATAATCTGTTATGTTGCTGTATTAAATACGAATAAAATATTATTTTGGTTTTTGCTTCTCTATTTTACCTACAGAGTTAGGATTAATGACTTAAGATGTTGCTAGTTTAGCAAATGTGACACAAAAGTAAATGAAAACACCCAACAAAAACATCTTTTAATTGCTAAACGTATTGAATTACTTTTGAAGTGGTAAAACAACCAACTTGTTCCACTTGCTGGTATTTCTAACACTATTTTGCTTTTGATGCTTTGGAATCAGTCGTTTTGAGTTGCTGGAAACTGAAAACTTGTGAAGTTGTCTCTAAAGCACACGCTCACATCTCTGGTTAAGAAAAGCTCCCACAGACCTGCCTACAGCCAGCATTTTGGAGGACTTTGCTCACTTGAGGGTCTCTCCTCTCAGGTGCCTTTAGCTGTGTCAAGTTGACTTAAAAACTAACCAGCATAATAGTGAAGAAAGTGCTGGCAGTAAAAAGCTGTAGAACTCTGCCTCTTAAGTGCTAAACAAAGAAGAGGTGATTGTCTCACTTAGGACCTCTGTTGTTGTGATAAAGTGCCATGACCAAAAGCAACTTGGGGAGGAAAAAGTTTATTTCATCTTACACTTCCAAGTAACAGGAAAGTTGGAGCAGCAAATTCAAGCAGGTCCCTATCTGCAGGCAAGAACTAAAGCAGAAGCCATGAGGGTTCTGCTTACTAGCTTACTCCCCATTGCTCAGCCTGCCTTTTTTTTTTTTTAAATCATGTAGGACCACCTTCCCAGGGATGGCAACCCCATTAGTAAGCTGGGCCCTCCTACATCAATCACTAAGCAAAACAATACCCCAACAGACTTGCCTACAGGCCAGTCTTATGAAGGTGTTTCTTCATTTGAGAGCCCCTCATTCCTAGTCAACTTGACTAGCTTTGTCAAGGTGACATGAAAGTAGCCAGCACACTATCCATCCGTTTGTAAGTAGAAAATAAGCTAGGCAGGCGAGATAGTAATGACAGAACTCAGCATGCTCTCAGCCCTGGGTTTAATTCCCATCACCTGAAGATGAAGAGGAGAATCAGCTGGAGGAAAATACAAAAAGCAGGAGGGTAAGTCACCAATGTAGAAAGGAGGTTAACAGTAATTTATACCAGGCATGATGATACACACCTTTAATCCCAGAACTAGGGAGACAGAAGCAGGCAGAGCTCTGACTTTGAGGCCAGCCTGCTCTATATAAGTAAGTTCTGGGACAGCCAACGCTGCACAATGAGACCCTGTCTCAAAAACAAATAACAAAAATCAGTAATTTAATAGAAACTATTAAGAGGAAAAATTGGTAGAATTAGTAAAAGCAGGCGCTTGTTCCTTTGGATATGTATACAATCAAATAGCATAAGGACTGGCAGACTTTGCTGTTGGTATAATGTTCTTTTGGAATGTATGTATACACTTTACCCTTGTTCATTCAAATGCTGATTTCTCTACCCCACTCTCTGGTTTCAATCCGGACACTGCATTGTGATGTTTACTCCAATCATCACCTGTCTCAACTTTGTGTAAACATGCCAAAATAAAGCAATTAGCCACACTGTTGAGCAAGGGAAAGGAAGCAGGAAAAGAGGCAGGAGCCAAAGGAGAGGAAGGTGGGAGGCAGAGGAGGGGAAAAGGGCAGATGAGAGCTGAGAGAACAGAGGCAGGAGCAGAGATCTTGGAATGACATGGAGAGATGGACTGGACCTAATATATCACTAAAAGCAAGTATAATGTGGGAAATCTAAATGTTAGGAAGCTATGAGGGCTTGGAGGTTTAGGATGGAATAACTATTGCCCAGCATTGTGCTCTAGGTTAATTAGATAAATCCCAGTGTCTGGTGATTTGGGTATACAGCTGTTTAGGATTAACAGCAGCTTTACCAGAAAATATATCAATAGTAAATATTAATTGTTAGTTACAACACATTTCTGTAGAATTCTACAGTCATTTATTACAAACATTTATGCCAGTAAACCTGATAGCCTGTTTGAAATAGAGAAATGGTTTTTAAAATAAAACTTGCTGAAAACTGACATGGAAAGAAATAGGAAATTGTGGTAATTTTGTAACTCTTCAGCATTTGTACCTGTGTCTTAATCTATTGCTGTGATAAAACGTCATGATCAAAGCAACTTTCAAAAGAAAGCATTTAATTTGGGGCTTAGAATTAGAGGGTTAGAGTCCATGATGGCAAAACAAAGGCATGATGACAGGAAAAGCTGAGGGGTCACATCCTGATCAGCAAGTTGGAGGCAGAGAGATAGAGAGGGGATGGGGAAAGTCTTTTGAAACCTTAAAGCCAACCCTCCAGTGACACAGCTTCTCCAACAAGACATTTCACTAATCCTTCCCAAATAGTTCCCCTGATTGAGGACCAAGTATTCACACATGTGAGCCTATTGGTGACATTTTCATCCATGCCACCAGGATCTATAATTTAAAACTTCAACGAGAAAAGTTGGAATGGCTTCATTTACCAAACTTTTAATGAAAAAAAAAAAAAAAAGTCCCAAGTCCCTCTCTTCCTGTAAATGTCAACTTTTAAATAGGCTCTACTGGAGAGCTTTATAAAAGGAAGATGATTTCTAATTCTGTTTAATTTTGACTTCCATTACAACACACAAAAATGAGTTTTAAGTGGGTTGTAGGTCTAAATGCTAAAAGCATTTAACCTCCAATAAATAATGCAGAAAATAACTTTATGAGCATGCAAAAGGTTAAGTTTTAAAATGTCACCAAATAAACATGATAAAGGAAGGACTTTTTTAAGTGTTTGTGCAAAAAATAAATAAAAAATCAAAACTTTTCATCATACAAAACAAAGAAAGTAGAAAGAGACTACATTCTAGGGGAAAGAACTTTAAAAACACCTGTTGACAAAGGCTTATACCTCTTAAGACTTTGACAAATGATGAGAGCCTCATTGGAAAGCAAACAAGATAGCTGAGCACGCACTTCCAGGGGCCAGTGAAAATACTGGAAGCGGGGCCTCATTCATTGTGGAAGCTAGGTGAAAGGTGCAGTAAGATGGAGCCTCGAGACTGGATGTAATAATACCCAGCAGCAAGCAACGATGTAGGCTTGGCGGGCTATGGTGTGTGGCTCTCACACTGTTAGCACACGCAAGGTACACTGGCACTGACTCACAAGCTACTACTTCTCCCAGTGTAGCATGCCTGGTGAGACTTAGGTTCATGTGTGTGGGGGCTATGTCTGTAGAAATGCTAACTGTTACTTGTGATGAGAAAACTACAAACAGCTGACATACTTGCCATCAGTATGTTCTATAAATTATTTATCCATTATGTGTGTGTGTAATTATATATATATATTTGTTATGAGTTGTTCCTATGACAAAGGCACTGACTGAATTATGTCTGCATATTCCACAGGATGAACCGCACACACATAATGTAGGCCCAAAAGACCAGGCACAAAATAGTGTGAGTTCTCGTTCACATCAAGCTCAGAGGTGCAGGACTGCTGTCAGTGGAGAGAGAGACGGGAAAACAAGGGAGCTGGCCCCACCTCTGGGGAGGGAAGGCCCTCAGCCTGTGTGGGCTTGCTGCCTTCTGCCCGGTGTGCTACCCTGGATGCAGCTGGTTCAGCAATGGGAGTTGGCGCACTCGTGCTATATCCATACCCTGTAAGGATACAGAATATTGGACAGACTGGGGGTTCTAAGACGTTCTGCAGTTGCTTTGGTTTTCCTTAGTTTGACGTACCTTGGATAGGTGCTTGCGTATTGTTCTTACTCTGTTCCCTGTTGTACAATTGAAGCAGAAAAGACCTATTTTGTCTTAATTGTTCCACATTTATACCTTAAAGAACACTTAATGCTGAGGTATTTTGGGCTTCTATGGAAGACGGGCTTTTTGTCTTGTTTTACAGAGCTGGGGATGGAGTCCAGGCCTACATACAGTAGGCAAGCAGTCTATTAGAGAACCACAGCCCAGCCCAGGCTGGTTACTGTTTTTAAAGCTGATTGCCTTCTTGGAAGAAAATCAGTTTTTAAAACAATACAACCTGGGCAAGGTGGTGCACACCTTTAATCCCAGCACTTGGAAGGCAGAGGCAGGTGGATCTCTGTGAGTTCAAAGCTAACCTGGTCTACACAGTTCCAGACCAGCCAGTACCACATAGAGAGACTCTGGTTAAGAAACAAAACAAAACAAATCAGGTTTTCTAGCACCCGGCTATTTCAAACTGAACTTGCAACAATGAAGAGGTGACGCTAAATGCTTAAGCAGTAAGCCTCCTTTCCCTCTTATTGCAGCACAGGTGGCAATGGTGCAGGCTGACAGGGTGGCTGGTTCTGTGGAGCGAGTAGTCACGGACTCTCCATCTTGTCACTGAGCCACCTCACTTGGCCTCAGTATGGACAGAGCTGCCACGTAAGCCATGCCTTTAAAGAGCACACAATTTTGGTTTGGTTTTCCCTGACTCAGTAGCACATACCTTTCTTTTACACATTCAAAGTGCACAGCCAATGGCTTGAGTGCTTTCACACCTCTGTAGCTAAAAGACCTCAACAGCATTTGCAAGGGAACTGGGAGATGAGGTGTCTGTAAATGAAGAGGGGATGGTTGAAAGGCAGGTAACCGGTAACCAGCCCTTCTCTGTTGTCGCAGGTGTGACAGCATGGAGAAACTGAAAGCTCTTCTTCCTAAACTAGAACAAGAGCTTAAGGACTCAGCAAAGTTCAAGGACTTTTACCAGTTCACCTTCACCTTCGCTAAGAACCCTGGGCAGAAAGGCTTAGGTAAGTATGAGCCTCAGTTTTGCAGGGTGCCAGATCTGAGTCCGTTGTAAATGGACAGACTCGGTGATCCAGCACAGACAGCCATGATGATGTAGTCTCTGCTTTGCCCTCTGTGTTCTGCTTACTCTTCACATAACTGGTAATACCAATTGATAATGTCTTGGCTTCTAAACTTAAACTATGAGCTAGTTTGTGCCTCTTGTTGCCTCTGCTACTGTCCATCAGAGTTGACAGCCTGAATGGTTGGTACTTTTTCTCCGAGTGGTGGTTTTGCCAGCCATGCCTTGGAACAGCTTCACCACACAGAGAGCTGCAGCATAGCTCCTTGCAGAGCTGTACAACTCCACTTGGGCTTAATACAGATGTGCACATCTGGAAAGTTTTTAACTGAAAATTCCAGTTTGGGGTTTTGATTTATTTGGTGAGTTTTATTTAGTTTTGCATCTGAGTACTGGTTTATTTCTGGCTCATTCCTTCCTGAGTATAATGTATATCCACCTACAGTTGCTTGACTAGAGTAGGTAAAAGACCTTATGCATTTATATGAAACCTCTTACAAATCTGAGGTATGTGGCTTAAGTAAGGATTTATAGGCATATCAGAAGGTATGTCTAGAAGATAAACCTCTGGTAAATAGAAGCAGTACCATAAAGGACTAAAACTTACCCAGGGTTTAGAAAGAGCCTGAACCACACAAGTGGAAGCCTGGTGCAGGGCTCACATGCAGCCCCTGTCCTGAGAGTCACATGGCTGTGCTCAGGTGTGCAAGTGTGCAGCTTGTCACCTCTGTCTCTCCTGTCCCCTGTTGTCATCATCATCTTCCCCTTCCTTCCCCTCCCGCATAGTGCAGGTCCAAAGAGGCAGAGCAGCCAAGCAGGCTGGCTTCCCACACTTACTAATGGAGTCCCTTAGGGTAGCTTTTTTTGTTGTTTGTTTTCTCTGGTGTTGATGTTTTAATGTTGGCATACTGGGCCTTGGCTCAACTCCCTTTTCCTCCAGGTTGGTCTGCCCATGAAATGGCCTTTCCGCCTCTGAGATCATAGCACCTCTTAACTCCAATGAGAGCTTCAGGAGCCACAGACAGGACAGTCTTAGGGGTTGCATTTAGAGACCTGTCTGAATAGACTTTCAGAAGGTGGAGATGTTACCACTTCCTATCAGAGAGCTGCTGGGAAAACCCTCATGTAGTGATCCCTATTCCAAAGATGCCGGGCTAAGAGGTGTGGTAGATTGCAGTCTCTGTCTGCACACAGCCTTGGCTTTTGTCTCCAGCGTGAAAACCAAAGGAGACTCAGACAAACAAGTGACACAAATGGGTCACACAGCATGGTCAAGTGAAACACTTGGCAAGAGGTGATTGAGGCAAACTTGTGTGAAGTTAGGTCACTGCAGGATCTGGTCCTCATGGCTAAGCATACAAGGAAGAAAACATAGCAAAGCTCACTGTATGTCACAGGTCATGGGGAGAAAGGAGGATGCCAGGTTTCCTATACCCCCCTTTTAATTGTTTTGAGATTTATTTTTATGTTATATATTTGGGTGACTTGCATCACATTGGTACTGTGCCCAGGAGGCCAGATGAGGGTGTCATGTCCCCTTGGACCAGGAGTTACAGACAGTTGTTAGCTGCCATGTGGGTGCTGGAAATTGTAACCATCAGCACTCATAACCATTGAATCAACTGCAGCCCCTCTACCCCTTTTTAGAGACCAACCTTTGCTTAACTGAGAAAAAGGAGCCAGCCAGATGACTTGAGTTCTTCTGTTGGATGTCCTATGTCCAATCAGCCCCTACCCTGGAAGGCTCTTGCAAAGCCTTCCTGGTGGAGCAAGGAGACCATGGGTCCTCAAGCCAATATGTTTGGAGACCCAAGGCCATTGGCCACAGGAACCTATGACATTAGACTTTTGGCTTTTCCCAGTGGTGTAAAAATCAGTGCAGAACAAAAGCGATTCTGATTGTGCATTCTGGTGTTGGGGATAAGATGGTAACATCTTCTTATTAGAAGCCCCCTCCTTAGCCTATGTACACTACACGGCCCCCTCTGTCATCCCTGTCATTCAGACATTTAGACCAGGATCTGATTGGGGGTCATACTATTGTGGAGTCATGATTTTCCACATTGAAATTAGTGATCCTTTCTGAAGCTTGAGCCACCCATTTTGGCCAGCAACTCCAGTCTCTCAGATATGACCCCTGGGATACTGGCTGCTCCTTCACTGTCTGCAGGACAGCTCAAGACTCCGTCAGATGTTTTCTTCTTCAAACCTAGGCTCACCTGCTTCTCCAGAAAGCCTTGATTTTTTTTTTCCAGTGAAAAATGGAGTCTCAATATTGTTCCTAATAACTACTAGGACCCTGTGCTGTTGTTTCTTTTCTTAAATATATTGATTGTACCAAATAATGGGCTTTGTTGTGAAATTTTCACACAGTGTACTATATATACTGACCATATTTACCCAGTATTGCCCTCTCAGCCCCACCCTTTCCCTCTTACTGGTTGTCCCAGTCAGTGTTCTATTGCTGTGAAGAGACACCATGACCAAGGCATCTCTTATAAAGGAAAGCATTTAACTAGGGATTAGCTTACAGTTTCAGAGGCTTAGTCCATTATACTCATGGTGGGGAGCATGGTAGGGAGCATGGTGGCTAGCTTGAGAGTTCTATATCCTGAATCACAGGCAGCAGGCAGAGAGACAGAGACACAGAGAGAGACTGGGCCTGGCTTAGACTTTTAAAACCTCCAAGCCCAGCTCAGGGTAGTGGCAGTGGTGAAAGTAGGAGCAAGGCCGGAGCTTTGGCCATAAGGCCTGGTGCAGTGACATTGGCTACGGTGTTTGGGGCTGAGCAGCTGCAAGGAGCTTGCTGGAGCTGGAGTCTGACCTCTGTCACAGCCCGCATTGTGTCTCCTCCTCTGCTGACCCCACACTTAAAGGATAACCTCTAGGAAGAAAGTGTTGCTGAAGGTCATCAACCCTGGGAGATTCTGGTGTTGGAAAGACATCTCTCATGAACCAGTATGTGAATAAGAAGTTCAGTAACCAGTACAAAGCCACAGTAGGAGCAGACTTTCTGACCAAGGAGGTGATGGTAAACGACAGACGTGTTACCATGCAGATCTGGGACACGGCCGGTCAATAACAGTTCCAGTCTCTTGATGTGGCCTTCTACAGAGGTGCAGATTGCTGTGTTCTGGTGTTTGATGTAACTACCCCCAACAAAACCCTTGACAGCTGGAAAGACAAGTTTCTCATCCAGGCCAGCCCCCAGAATCCCAAGAAGTTCCCTTTTGTTGTGTTGGGAAAAACGATTGACCCCAAAAGAGAGACAAGTGGCCACAAAGAGGACATAGGCTTGGTGTTACAGCAAAAACAACATTCCCTACTTCAAGTGCCAAGGAGGCCATCAATGTGGAGCAGGTCTTCCAGACAATTGCTCAGAATGCCCTTAAACAGGAAACAGAAGTGGAGCTATATAATGAATTCCCTGAACCCATCAAACTGGACAAGAATGACTGGGGGCCAAGGCCTCTGCGGAGAGCTGCAGTTGTTGAAGGGGCAGTGAGCAGAGTCCTTCAACCAAGAACACACATATAGGCCTTCAATATGCATCCCTCCTCCTCTAAACAGAACAGAACATGATCTCTCACATCCAGCTGCCAAAGAAACTCCACCAAACAGCTATCCACCACACACACACACACACACACACACACACACACACAGAGCTAGCAAACTCCAGCCTATGCCAGTCAGGGCTCCTGGGGCAGCTGCCCACAATGAGCCCTGTATGTGGCATATGGCAGAGACCTTGGGTGCTCTGGGTGCAATGGGCATGGAAGCTTACTCTTTTTGTCCACTGGAAAGTAAGAGAGCTGTTCACAGTTTATGTAATTATCTGATTTTTCTTTTTCTTAACGGTCTTGTGGTCTTTTACCCCCTGGCCCTCAGATCTGTTTACAGTATCCATCTATTATGTAATGTTTCTTAGAAAAGCATTTATTATGTAAATGTTTCTTAGTACATGTTAATATATGCAACCAATAAAAATGTATAAATTAGTGCAAAAATACAAAAAAAAAAAAAAAAAAAAAAAAACCTTCCAAGCTCATCCCCAGTAACACACTGCTTCCAACAAGGCCATACATACCTCCTAATCCTTCTAATCCCTTCAAACAATTCTTCTCCTTGGTTACTATGCATTCAAATATATGAGCCTATGGGGCCATTCTTATTCAGACCATCACACTGGACCTCTTTCTCTTTTAAGTAGTTCTCCTCCTTTCATGTCTTTTATGTGCATATGTGTGTGTGTGAGTGTGTGGGTGTAGGTGTAGATGCCCGAGGATGACACTGGGTGTCTTTCTTGATCACTGTCCACTTTGCATATTGAGGCAGGGTGTCATGGATCCTGGATTCACTGACAGCATCAGCTTGTCTGGCTAGCCAGCTTGAGCTCGGATTCTGCATCTCAACCTCCCTTACATGGAGGTGTAGGTGGGCTGCCATACCCTCCCAGCTTTCTTACTTTTTAAAAATTATTTTTTACATGTATGAATGTTTTGCCCACATGTATGTCTGTATACCATGTGCATGCCTGATGCATACAAAGGCAGAAGAGGGCATCACATCTCCAGAAACTTGGAGTTATAGATGGTTGTGTGCTGTCATGTGGGTGCTAAGAATTGAACCTGGGTCCTCTGGAAGAACAGCAGTCGCTCTCAACCTCTGAGTCATCTCTCCAGCCTCACCAGCCTTGTACATGGGTGCTGGGAATCCAAACTCCGGTTCTCACACTTTAGTCACTGGACCAGCACCTCATTTTGCATTTTTATTATTTTAGATTCTCTATGTAGCTCTGACTAGCCTGGAACTTTATGTAGATCAGGCTGACCTCAAACTTGCAGAGATCTCTCTGCTTTTGAGTGCTGGAATTAAAGACATGTGCCACCATAGTGCTGGAGAAGTAGCCCGAGAGTTCTACATCCTGTTAGCAAGCAG